AGAACTGAACTAGAACTGAACTAGAACTGAACTAGAACTGAACTAGAACTGAACTAGAACTGAACTAGAACTGAACTAGAACTGAACTAGAACTGAACTAGAACTGAACTAGAACTGAACTAGAACTGAACTAGAACTGAACTAGAACTGAACTAGAACTGAACTAGAACTGAACTAGAACTGAACTAGAACTGAACTAGAACTGAATATGAACTCAACTGAACTAGAACTGAACTAGAACTGAACTAGAACTGAACTAGAACTGAACTAGAACTGAACTAGTAACTGAACTAGAACTGAACTAGAACTGAACTAGAACTGAACTAGAACTGAACTAGAACTGAACAGAACTGAACTAGAACTGAACTAGAACTGAACTAGAACTGAAATAGAACTGAACTAGAACTGAACTAGAACTGAACTAGAACTGAACTAGAACTGAACTAGAACTGAAATAGAACTGAAATAGAACTGAAATAGAACTGAACTAGAACTGAACTAGAAATGAACTAGAATGAACTAGAATTAACTAGAACTGAACTAGAACTGACTAGAACGGAACTAGGACTGAACTAGAACTGAACTAGAAACTGAACTAGAACTTAACTAGAACTGGAACTAGAACTGAACTAGAACTGAACTAGAACCTAACTAGAACGATGAACTAGAACTGAACTAGAACTGAACTAGAACTGAACTAGAAACTGAACTACTGAACTAGAACTGAACTAGAACTGAACTAGAACTGAACTAGAACTGAACTAGAACTGAACTAGAACTGAACTGAACTGAACTAGAACTGAACTAGAACTGAACTAGAACTGAACTAGAACTGAACTAGAACTGAACTAGAACTGAACTAGAACTGAACTAGAACGAACTAGAACTGAACTAAACTGAACTGAACTAGAACTGAACTAGAACTGAACTAGAACTGAACTAGAACTGAACTAGAACTGAACTAGAACGGAACTAGAACTAGAACTGAATAGTGTACTTTTTGTTCTTCATGCATTTCATTCTAATTGGCATTCTAAGAATGTGTATAGTTTTTATTATGAGATTTGTCGTGCCTTAAAATTGTAAAGAATTTATTTAAATTTTTATTTTTATTTTTTTAGAAAACATATACATACAAAAGAAAACAATTTCGCAAATATTTTTACTCGATATAAAAATATGCATACAAAATAATCTGTCATGACCAAAATCAATTGCTTAAATAAAATGAGAAAAAAATATGCATAAAAACTAAAATATTTACTACATACATATATTTTTCATAAAACAAATTTCATTTGACAAAGGCATAGAAATGTTTCTATATAAATTTTAGGAATTTACTTAACATATTTTCTACAAAATTTTAATTCTATTTCAACAATAAAAATAAACAAAGTTAGAAATGGAAAAAAATTAAATAAAATGAAATTATTCTATAACAAATATTTAACAATTTTTTTACTTTTTGTTTTTCTAAATCCTTTTCTTCTATGCTAGGATTTTTTTGTTTGATACAACAGTTTAAAACACCTCAATAGAATTCTATACTTATGTTTATTTTAATTTATGAATATTTAACAAAGCCTAAAAGAATGCTACAGAAAAAACGGTAATGTTAGAAAGATTTTGTTTGCCAAAGAAAAATCTTGTTGGTTACGTGGGGTTTTGGTTTTACTCTTTCTTTCTTTCTTTCTTTCTTTTCGTTTTCTCTTTTTGTTGTACAAATAATAAAGTTAAATAAAAAGAGTGTTTTTTTTAATAGAATGTTGTTTTTGTGTTATTATTTTTCTTATCCAGGGGAGTAAGAAAGAATACAACTGCGTTTAAGCCACAGGTAAGTATGCACAAAAACAACAAAACTTGACCCAAATTAAAGCCATAAAATAGTGTGTTTATAAATTAAATTAGAATTTTTTGTTGTATTTTGAATATTTAAACGAAAACAAAAACAGCTTATTTTTGGCGAGACGTGCTTGCAGTTACCTGGTTACCTTTTTTGAAACAAAGGCTGCTTACTCAAAGAAATTATTTAAACCATATTACTTTTAAGTGCTTTTTTCTTACAGCGACTAAATTACTTTGACTTTGGCTACATACAAAAGATGTCAAGTTAAAACTTAATAGATTGCAATTAACAAAAAAAAACATTTTTTTTTAAAGAACCCTTAAAAACGAAGAAAAGTTACAAATTAATTTTCCTCCTCTGAATAAGTAAAAGTATTAAACTAACTAATGACTAAGAACAAAAGTAAAGCTTTTTGTTTTATTTTTTATATTTTTTATAATTGTTTTTAATAAAATTTTATAGTCACGCGATAAACAACCTCAATTCACATGTTTTCAATGGGCGTGATCAGTTTGTACTGACGACAATCAATACTTTATTGTAACCGCAGAGATTTGGCCCTCTTTCAAGATTTGCAAGCGGAACTGCAGCTTAAGCACGTGTTATCCGCATCACTTGCAAGATTGTTTTTAAAGAATTTAAATAAAAAACAAAAATATATTTAATTAGAAAAATATTATAAAAAGTAAAATGAAACAAGTTAATTAATTGGTTTAAAAAATATATGTCAAATTAGAACAGAACTAGAACAGTACTAGAACAGAACTAGAACAGAACTGAACAGAAAGACCAGAACTAGAACAGAACTAGAACAGAACTAGAACAGAACTAGAACAGAACGGAACAGAACTAGAACAGAACCAGAACTAGAACAGAACTAGAACAGAACTAGAACAGAACCAGAACAGAACTAGAACAGAACTGACAGAACTAGAACAACTAGAACAGAACTAGAACAGAACTAGAACAGAACTAGAACAGAACTAGAACAGAACTAGAACAGAACTAGAACAGAACTAGAACAGAACTAGAACAACTAGACAGAACTAGAACAGAACTAGAACAGAACTAGAACAGAACTAGAACAGAACTAGAACAGAACTAGAACAGAACTAGAACAGAACTAGAACAGAACTAGAACAGAACTAGAACAGAACTAGAACAGAACTAGAACAGAACTAGAACAGAACTAGAACAACTAGAACAACTAGAACAGAACTAGAACAGAACTAGAACAGAACTAGAACAGAACTAGAACAGAACTAGAACAGAACTAGAACAGAACTAGAACAGAACTAGAACAGAACTAGAACAGAACTAGAACAGAACTAGAACAGAACTAGAACAGAACTAGAACAGAACTAGAACAGAACTAGAACAGATCTAGAACAGAACTAGAACAGAACTAGAACAGAACTAGAACAGAACTAGAACAGAACTAGAACAGAACTAGAACAGAACTAGAACAGAACTAGAACAGAACTAGAACAGAACTAGAACAGAACTAGAACAGAACTAGAACAGAACTAGAACAGAACTAGAACAGAACTAGAACAGAACTAGAACAGAACTAGAACAGAACTAGAACAGAACTAGAACAGAACTAGAACAGAACTAGAACAGAACTAGAACAGAACTAGAACAGAACTAGAACAGAACTAGAACAGAACTAGAACAGAACTAGAACAGAACTAGAACAGAACCTAGAACAGAACTAGAACAAAACTAGAACAGAACTAGAACAAACTAGAACAGAACCAGAACAGAACTAGAACAGAACTAGAACAGAACTAGAACAGAACTAGAACAGAACAAGAACTGAACTAGAACAGAACTAGAACAGAACTAGAACAGAACTAGAACAGAACTAGAACAGAACTAGAACAGAACAGAACTAGAACAGAACTAGAACAGAACTAGAACAGAACTAGAACAGAACTAGAACAGAACTAGAACAGAACTAGAACAGAACTAGAACAGAACTAGAACAGAACTGAACAGAACTAGAAACTAGAACAGAACTAGAACAGAACTAGAACAGAACTAGAAACAGAACTAGAACCAGAACTAGAACAGAAACTAGAACAGAACTAGAACAGAACTAGAACAGAACTAGAACAGAACTAGAACAGAACTAGAACAGAACTAGAACAGAACTAGAACAGAACTAGAACAGAACTAGAACAGAACTAGAACAGAACTAGAACAGAACTAGAACAGAACTAGAACAGAACTAGAACAGAACTAGAACAGAACTAGAACAGAACTAGAACAGAACTAGAACAGAACTAGAACAGAACTAGAACAGAACTAGAACAGAACTAGAACAGAACTAGAACTAGAACAGAACTAGAACAGAACTAGAACAGAACTAGAACAGAACTAGAACAGAACTAGAACAGAACTAGAACAGAACTAGAACAGAACTAGAACAGAACTAGAACAGAACTAGAACAGAACTAGAACAGAACTAGAACAGAACTAGAAACAGAACTAGAACAGAACTAGAACAGAACTAGAACAGAACTAGACAGAACTAGAACTAGAACCTAGAACAGAACTAGAACAGAACTAGAACAGAACTAGAACAGAACTGAACAGAAACTAGAACAGAACTAGAACAGAAACTAGAACAGAACTAGAACAGACACTAAGAACAGAACTAGAACAGAACTAGAACAGAACTAGAACAGAACTAGAACAGAACTAGAAACAGACACTAGAACAGAACTAGAACAGAACTAGACAGAACTAGAACAGAACTAGAACACACCTAGAACACAACTAGAATACAACTGGAAAACAACTAGAACACAACTAGAATACAATTGGAAAACAACTAGACTACAAGTAGAACAAAAAGAAAAAACTATATCAAAACTGAACTATAGGTGAAATAAAAGTACATGATCGTAACTGTATTGCTAGGTTAGTTCCCATTTAATTAGTTTTTTCATTTGGGTACCTTTCTTGGGTACTTTATGCAAATCGCTTATTATTGGTTGTTGTTAGAAGTAAAATATGTGGTTTATTTTGTAAATATTTTTATAATGTTTTTTATTTCATATTTATCCTTATGTTTAGTTTATTACAAATAAATATAAATTACTTTAAAAACTAAAATACCATACATTTTCCCTTAAAACTAATTTTACTATTTATAAGTACAATTTGTTTTTTTTTAATTAAATAAATTTACATAAATAGTACCATAATAAGTACAAAGAAAATACAGTAAGTTTTTGGCTAAAATTAAACTAAACTATAAGATTTAAAATAAAACGTTTCACCACAATTTACACTTTTCCACAGGATTCATGGGACTACCTAAGGGACACTGAAATACCTCAGCAAATTCGGGCATATGCGAGAGCGTATAATTCAGCCTTAAACTATCTAAATCATGAGAATCATCTGTTAGGGCAAATGTTTCTTGCTGCGAAGAACCACAAAAGAATTGAGCAAATTGTAGGAAAAACAATTTACCATTGTGTTTAAGAAAGAGAGGATCTTTAATGAAAGTTCTCAAAGCCAAATGAGTGCCACTTATATCAGCTATGCGCTCGGTTAAATATTTAGTGGGCTGTTTACTAAGACAGGCAATGTTGTGTTGGAAATTTTTATTATTTATTATGGCTAGGGAATCTATATCATTATAATTACCAGCATAGTCATTTTCGAGAAATTTAGAATCAAAAGCATGAATTAGCTCATGACCCAAGGTATTGGCAAGATCACCAAATAGCAGAGAGGGCCAGAAACGATGATCATAGAAAGGTAGCTGTAGATAGGCAAAGGGTAAAATAATAAAATTAGCGGTACTGAAGTAATAGGGAGTAGAATCTAAATTGTCTAGGAAATTGGGCATATGAAGATTAAAAGTAAACCAAAAGGAATCAAACTTAGAAGGTGAAGCCAATAAACGTTGATGTTGAAAGAAATGCTTTAAAGACATTAAATGGTTAACATAAAAATTTTGTGTAACATTTAAATCGGCTATATATTCCAAATAAAAATGGCCGGAGGCATTCTTGGGCAGATTGCCTATATTTAAGGCTAAATACTTTAATTTTTTCTTTAAATACTGTATGCTATCCGAACTAAGTTGCATTTCATTACGATCTAAGATAAGAGAAAATTGCTCTTTTAATTGAGTGTATACTTGCATAATAACTTCATCACTTTGTGTTCTAGTGGGAGCATAATAAACCTGCTCATAGAGATAATTCATGGCTAAGGGAAAATGTTTACGCATATGCCTTAAACAGGAGGCATGATCAGAACCCTTGTCTATGATATTGTGTGTGTGAGATTGTAAATAATTGATGAAACGTGTTAGGGCATATAAGAATAAAGTCTTTTGTGAGCTATTATCAAGATAAGTTTTAATTTTCTCTATATTTAACAAATCATTAACAAATATTTGATCCGAAGGTTCTAGCGTAAAGTCAGCTAAAAGATATTCCCAATTAATGCTGGTAGTATTAGTTTGTACTAACTCTTTATAACTCAGCCATTCGGTTAAATCACACTCATTGTTTTCATCTACTATGGCATTGAGACAGGAAGTTTTTAATATATTTTCCAAATCCAACTCTAAATTACGGAAATCCATCTCCAATTTAGCAAACGAGTCATTGCTATAGATTTGTAAAATATCATAAATTTCTTGAGAGAATTTTACTCTTTCCATTAGATTATGAGGATCTATGCTTAGCATATAACGTGTGGCATTAAAACGCTCTATTTGTAAAGAGATAAAGAAACGGCTATTGGAGAAGAGATTAAGCTCTCTTAATGTTTGCAGCCAATTGCTTTGATTGTTAAACTGCAGATAACCCATTTCTCTTAGAGTAATAATATACTGCCTCCAAGAAGCTTTCTCTTTACTCTCACTCTGCAGACACACCTCTAGATATTGCTGCATTTTATGCTTAATCAAATCTCCTCTCAGTTTGACATCAGCAGTTGTAAATATTTGCTCAAATTTATCATTTAATTGTTGCTCTCCCATAGCCATAACAGTCTGTTGATCGGGATGTTGCTGCTGCCAGTTGCTGCAGGCGTAAGCATGAAAATTCTCACAGGGGTTAATGGCACGATTCATATGTGTGGCTATATGTTGCAAGTGTTTGACATTCACGTGCTCGTCGCAGTCGCGCGTTAGACAAGTTTTATTTAAATGCTCCCAATAGGCGAGTTCATTGGCGTTTAAAGTTGCCGGGCTTACAGCATAAGGGTGGGCTGTTATTAAAGCTGCTGGTTTAGTGGGTTTAGCCGCTATAAGAGCCCACAACAAAGTGCTGGCAAATGTTATCAGTTGTTTACTAAGCATTATGCTTTCTTATTTTGTTAAAACAAAATTTTATATTTAAAAATCACTTAATTTTTTTTATAACTTTAAACTTTAAGTTCTCTGTGTATTTTTAGTTAATTGCCAAATTTTTTGTTTTGCCAAAAGCATGTCCAATTTATTTTCAATTTTTTTAAAATCACTTTAATTTTTTTTCTTTGATTTAATAAATTTCCGTTTTATAATTATATATTCTCAATTTTCCGTTTTACGTCTTTTAGCTTTCGCTGCTCAAACACAACTGTTACACATTTCATTCACTAAAGTTTATAATTTCAATTCTTACGCTAGCGCTGCCTTAAGCTGAGCTTTAATTTCCCTTCTTATCGTAATTTTTTTTGTGAAATACGTTGTTTCAGCTTTTTTTATATTATTTTATTTTTTTTTGCAAGCAATGACAGTTTTAATAAAAATCTTATCACTTAATTGCTGCTACGATTCATAAAATTTTGGTTTAAAAGACACTGTTAAAATTTTCAAATAAAAATTAAATTTAAAAAAAAATTAAGTCTTAATTTATTTCACTTCACATAAAGAAACAAATATTTCGTTTAAAGTTCCTTAAAGTCCACATCAAAAGCTTTAAAATCTTATAAAAATAGCGTCAAAAACTTCAAGTTATCATAAGGCACCAAAGCTTTCAAGAAACCTGAACAAATGTCTCCAAACCATCTCTATTTTATTAATAGTTTTTCTAAGTATACAATTCTATTTTAAGCTCCATATCAATTTTTCTCTTCGCCACTTGTCACACAAATCTGCATTGCATATCACTTACACTTCAGGGTCGAGCACTTGATTGCTCAGCATAGTTTATCTCTTACTATAATAACGCACGAGCATTGTATTTATTCTATAAATAGTAAATATGACGCTCTATACTCGCTACCGGATGATCATGCCAAGACCGGTTTAATGCAGAGCGGACATCTATTAAAGTGGCCAAACTTTGGTATAATCATTCATGGAACCTTATAAAATATGCATATTCATCACACTTAGAGAAAAATTATATTTTTCAAAAGCTAGACAAAACAATAAACTATATACAAAATTAGACTATAGACTGGACTATATTCTAAACTATATACAAGACTGTAGACAAGACTATATACTAGACTATAGACTAGACTATAGACTAGACTATAGACTAGACTATAGACTAGACTATAGACTAGACTATAGACTAGACTATAGACTAGACTATAGACTAGACTATAGACTAGACTATAGACTAGACTATAGACTAGACTATAGACTAGACTATAGACTAGACTATAGACTAGACTATAGACTAGACTATAGACTAGACTATAGACTAGACTATAGACTAGACTATAGACTAGACTATAGACTAGACTATAGACTAGACTATAGACTAGACTATAGACTAGACTATAGACTAGACTATAGACTAGACTATAGACTAGACTATAGACTAGACTATAGACTAGACTATAGACTAGACTATAGACTAGACTATAGACTAGACTATAGACTAGACTATAGACTAGACTATAGACTAGACTATAGACTAGACTATAGACTAGACTATAGACTAGACTATAGACTAGACTATAGACTAGACTATAGACTAGACTATAGACTAGACTATAGACTAGACTATAGACTAGACTATGACTAGACTATGACTAGACTATGACTAGACTATGACTAGACTATGATAGACTATGACTAGACTATGACTAGACTATGACTAGACTATGACTAGACTATGACTAGACTATGACTAGACTATGACTAGACTATGACTAGACTATGACTAGACTATGACTAGACTATGACTAGACTATGACTAGACTATGACTAGACTATGACTAGACTATGACTAGACTATGACTAGACTATGACTAGACTATGACTAGACTATGACTAGACTATGACTAGACTATGACTAGACTATGACTAGACTATGACTAGACTATGACTAGACTATGACTAGACTATGACTAGACTATGACTAGACTATGACTAGACTATGACTAGACTATGACTAGACTATGACTAGACTATGACTAGACTATGACTAGACTATGACTAGACTATGACTAGACTATGACTAGACTATGACTAGACTATGACTAGACTATGACTAGACTATGACTAGACTATGACTAGACTATGACTAGACTATGACTAGACTATGACTAGATTATGACTAGACTATGACTAGACTATGACTAGACTATGACTAGACTATGACTAGACTATGACTAGACTATGACTAGACTATGACTAGACTATGACTAGACTATGACTAGACTATGACTAGACTATGACTAGACTATGACTAGACTATGACTAGACTATGACTAGACTATGACTAGACTATGACTAGACTATGACTAGACTATGACTAGACTATGACTAGACTATGACTAGACTATGACTAGACTATGACTAGACTATGACTAGACTATGACTAGACTATGACTAGACTATGACTAGACTATGACTAGACTATGACTAGACTATGACTAGACTATGACTAGACTATGACTAGACTATGACTAGACTATGACTAGACTATGACTAGATTATGACTAGACTATGACTAGACTATGACTAGACTATGACTAGACTATGACTAGACTATGACTAGACTATGACTAGACTATGACTAGACTATGACTAGACTATGACTAGACTATGACTAGACTATGACTAGACTATGACTAGACTATGACTAGATTATGACTAGACTATGACTAGACTATGACTAGACTATGACTAGACTATGACTAGACTATGACTAGACTATGACTAGACTATGACTAGACTATGACTAGACTATGACTAGACTATGACTAGACTATGACTAGACTATGACTAGACTATGACTAGACTATGACTAGACTATGACTAGACTATGACTAGACTATGACTAGACTATGACTAGACTATGACTAGACTATGACTAGACTATGACTAGACTATGACTAGACTATGACTAGACTATGACTAGACTATGACTAGACTATGACTAGACTATGACTAGACTATGACTAGACTATGACTAGACTATGACTAGACTATGACTAGACTATGACTAGACTATGACTAGACTATGACTAGACTATGACTAGACTATGAGTAGTCATATTTTGTAAGTTATAACACAAATTTCAAATTGTCCACTTTCTCTAATTGTAGTTTGATGTACCCTAAAAAATTAAAAAAATAAACTTAATAAGTCGTCTGCTACAATCATATAAAACAATGCGAAAAGTTTTTAACCCCTTTAGCAAATTAATTGTAATAAATTTTGTTTAATATTTATGCACATACATAACTCATACTATATTTTTTTTTTATTCTTTAGCGATTATTATAACAAATGATTATAATACACAATCATGTACAGAGAGCTGGAAACATATGAAATACAAGACCACTAAAATTGATAAGAAATATTAAAGCATATATTTTTTTTTTTTTTTTTGCTAAACAAGAAAGAGTATAATAAACATAATAAAGGGAATATGAAACGAAATGATTTAAATTGTATGACGCAATAATGCCTTGTAATTTACAGCGAAAGTTTCGAAGCGCAAAAACAACTGACAGATTTAAAGACTATATAGAAATATAATTGAAATATGTGACTTGATATGACAACTACAGTCTGTGTTTAAGTGTTCATATGTCTAAGTAAATGTCTACAGGAAGTCTAGTATCATGTAAAATGATTGATAAGTTCTCTACATGATTTAGATTTTTATTTGAAATATTTATAGATTTTGTAAATAGCTTTTTTATAATTATTAGTTTTTTTCATTAGAAATATTTGAAATTACTTGCTAGTTCTTAGTCTTGTATAAGAAGGTCGTATTTAATTTAGAATAAAACTTAAGATTTAATAGTTTTTTAACACCAGATTTGTTCACAAGTTATGAAAATATTGACTAATTGAGGGTAATAGTTAGATCTTTAAAAATATTCTATTTAACCATGCTAATCACCCCATTTAAGTTCTCTTAGAATAAGCTGAAATTCAGCGTGTGCTTAAAAAACGCTCAACAAAAGCCAGGCCCATTACCCCCTAAACGAATAAATATTATCAGTGTTTTGAAATACGTGCCATTTGTCTTTTAAATACAACAAGGTTAAAAACTTATAAAAAGTTTTATAATTAATTGTACTGCAACTACAATTCTATATTAAATTAAACTAAAAACCCCTTAACTGACTAAGTCTTTGAAACCCGAAAATTTGCAAATTAGTATAACTATTTCATCATGTTTCTTTAGCTTTAGTTTTTTAAACAAAAATATTTTTATCAATTTAATAGTTTGTTTTGGCGTTTTGCGGTTTATGTTCAGTGGTTTACTCAAAAACTCAAAAAAAAAAACTGACGCAACATGTTCCAAATTCTAAACTAAATGTCGGCAAATACTAGATAATTGTGGGTGCAGATTTTTATGGGAAAATTTTACTATATGTATTTATAAAAAAAACGACTTGGGATTTTCAAACATTATGTCAGGAGTTACGGAAATATTACAGATCTGGCCTGCAGAAAAAAACATCATGACGATACTACACTTTGAATAAGACTGTGGACTATAGTACAGGATTACTATAGACTAGAATATAGAATAGCCCATACACAAGATTATAGACTTGACTAGACAAGAGACTACAGTATAGACCGAAAACTAGATTATATATTAGACTAGAGAAATGACTATAGAATATAATATAGTCTAGACTATAGACTAGACTATAGACTAGACCATAGAATTAACTATATAATTGCCTACAGAATAGACTATAGACCAGACTATAGAGTAGATTATATACTGGACTAGACTATAGACTAGGCTATAGACTAGACTATAGACTAGACTATAGGCTAGACTATAGACTAGACTATAGACTAGACTATAGACTTGAATATAGACTAGACTATAGACTAGACTATAGACTAGACTATAGACTAGACTATAGGCTAGACTATAGACTAGACTATAGACTAGACTATAGACTAGACTATAGACTAGACTATAGACTAGACTATAGACTAGACTATAGACTAGACTATAGACTAGACTATAGACTAGACTAGATAGACTAGACTATAGACTAGACTATAGACTAGACTATAGACTAGACTATAGACTAGACTATAGACTAGACTATAGACTAAATTATAGACTAGACTATAGACTAGACTATAGACAACTATAGACTAAACTATAGACTAG